CAAGCTGGGGCTTCCACTCTCGGTCTGATGAGGAAAATCGAAAGCGCCAACGGCGACGGCCAGCTGTCGCATCTCGGCGGCGCGGCCCACGTCGAAGACCAGTTTGCGACCAAGGAACGATACAAGTCGTTGATCAGACAGCTGCCGGCGAAGGGTTACATCGAAAAGCTCATCGACGTATACTTTCACGAGTTCAACCACCAGTACTATGCGCTTGAGGAGGATCTCTTCAAGGAACAGTTTGCCGAGTGGTCCAACATCCCCTTCAGCGTGCTTTCCAACTCTGGTCCACAGGCACTCTCGCCCGACTTGCGAGTCTTTCCCGCGCTGCTCTTTCAGGTACTGGCGACGGCCTTGTTGACTCTACCGGAAGGGTCGCAAGACTTTTACGATCATCTCAAGTATGCTGGGAACATGACTTTCGAGGACCTTGCCGCGGACTACAGCGAATCTGGCGTTGGCATTTTGTCACTGCTTGGTAAGCGGCAAATCACTCTCACAACAGTCCAGGCCGACTTTCTTCGGGCTGCGTTTCTCAAATACATGGCCAAGGTTACGGAATCGGTAGGTGAACTCCCGAGCGTAGCTTAAGGCCGTCAAAAAGCTAATAATGAGTGCAGTGGCATGCCATTGGTAGCGCTATTCGAGATGCTCAAGAGATTGGCATGCACCGGGATAGCCTGGATCCTTCCCCGGCCAGTGATGACACTGGTGATATGCTCGAGAACATGTGGCTGATTCAGCGGAGGAGAAAGCTTTACATGGTCCTCATGACATGGTGAGCAATTGCCGGACGGCAAGCATGGCTGTTTATGACTCGGCTGACACCGAACAGGGATATCCACTGTGCGCTTGTGCTTGGACGTCCTGGCAGCATCGACTGGCGTATACTCCCACCCAGTCTACCAATAGACGCGCCTCCGCCCAAAGACCGCCGCAAGACGCCCATTGCGCCAAGGGATGACGAGAGAGACCCTCCAACCCCGTTGACTAAGAGCATATGGGCTTTCAAGCTCGTCGGCCCAATGCGCGAGATCCTCGAGCTTGAGCACGACGGCCCGTGTCCGAAAGACTACTCCAAGGTCGACCGGGTACACCAAATATGTATGGAACTCGACGAGGCCACACCTGCATACTTCCGCCTGGAGAATCCGGACACGAAATGGGACGGTAACCCCTTGTGCTCCTCCTGGCTACAGTCGGTGCGATTTTACCTACCGCAGATGAATCTTTTCAATCTAATGGCACTGCACCGACCATACATCTTTAACAGGCAAAAGAGTCGGACAGAGGCGCTCAAGGCCAGCATTGAAATGTTGCATCGACAGATGCTCACATTCCAAGGCCTTGACGCTGGATCATGGCGAAAGTAGGTCTCATGCATTTCCCTGTCGGATTAGGCTAACAAGCCTGCCTAGTTTCTCGCTGTTCTTTGGCAGCTTTGACGCAGTAGTGCTCATGGCGTCGATATATATCCTGTTCCCCAAGGAGAACCTGGATATGGCAGGCAGCGCTATGCAACACTTCCACTGGACAACGGAGAGGTTTGAAGCGATGCAAGAGCGAAACCCTCTTGCAAAGGCGGCAAAGGGAGTTCTCCAGGCGATATTTAATAAGTTTAAGAAAGCAGTAGGAAACCCGGCGCCACCAGCGAGCCTGTCAAGCCTGGCATCCCAGACAACGCCGGCATCGACGGCAGACAACAGCAGTCTTTCAGGCCGCGGATCGGTGTCAACGGCAACAGCGGCCACGGCAGATACGCCAGTGAGCAAGAGCAGTACGGTGGCGACACCAACCTCACTGCCCATGGCATCAGACGCGGCATCGGCGTATCCTCTGCCATCCTCTGCCTCGGACTGGAACATACCCAATAATTGGGATTTCACGTCGATTGCGCCACTATTCCCGATGGGAGACCTCATTTACCACGACCTCAACGGTATACCGGACGACGGATCTCTCCCCGCGTGGGGAGCAGCGACGCCGCCACCGCCGGTGGCTGGTACAACATCATTCGAAGGAGATTTTGGGAATGACAGTGTGTGGAACTTGCTAAACCAGTACGACCCGTCATCTGTTTGAGCCCCTTACTACGTACGTTATATGGAAGACTGAGGAACGATATTTGAAACGGACAGAAACAAAGGCAATTTAGGGACATTCAAGCCTGAGCCGCTCACCTTCAAGTTGGAGTAAGATACTATCCGTAACATCTGCCTGCAAGCTCCTGGAAGAAGGAGCGAGGGGCTTGGATGATTGAGACAGTAAAGGAAAGAGGGATGGCAAGGCGTTTTTCTTGAACGTCGCAGGTGAGAGTCGAAAAAGAGATGGTGAAAAGGTCGCGGCCTAGCGGCGGTTCAGTGCATGACATTGAGTTGTTGTCATTGGCTGCATGTAGTGGTGGGTTGAATTGAAGTCGAGAAGTTGAGCGCCTTGGGGGATAGACGATTTACAGCTGAAGGGCCCCCCCCTGCCATGATGGGGGATGCTGGCCAGTTAGGTGGGACAACGGTAGTGGATTTAGCGCCAGCGGAGAAGGAGCTGCCCTGCCAGTGCCTGCTTACCGGGTTCCGTGGTGCCTCGCAAGTTGTCGCTAAAGTGGCATCTCATGCACAAGCGGTGGACAATCAGTCGAGCGAGGTGCAGGCCAGGCACATCGCAGCCGTTGCTAGGTAGTCGTCAGCCAGCAGGTAGCCAAGAATGGTTGAGGCAGATACAACAACGAGGATGCATAGATGACCATGATATACCCTATGTATACCCTGAGTGTACTTTTCTGTTGCCGTCATGCCCATGTTCTGATTCGAGGTTTTGTGTCGTTCGGCGTACTGGGGAATGGGTGTCAATGGTGTCTTGCGGGATGAAAGGTACGCATATCCTTGCGGCCTATGACGATTGGGACCAGTGGTAAACTTTTTTTTTTTTTTTTTTTTTTCGTATTCCAGTTTAACAATTTTTTCCGGGGTCCAGACAGTACGGCACCAACACCATATCCGTAGAGGAAGAAAAAAAAATCAATTTCCGCCAGCCAACGACTTGTGTTGTGGCGTATCTAACATCTTATCGGACGCTTGCTTTTTTGCCTACCTATGCAATCAACTTCCCACGGTTTCTCGAATGTCACTTGTGAACATTTCCCCATCTCTTGACAATTGGAAGTCTACCCGTGCCTAGGTTGGGTCAAGAAAGATTACCCCCGCCATCCATTCGCATCCGGCGAGTGAGCGCTCATCCTGCTTTCCGCATTCCGGGTCCCAGCAGATCGATATACAAGAATCCGGTGGTGGCTTCACCGCTTCCCGTCACTCTCTGCTGTCAGGTATCGACTGGGAGAGGAAGCAGACAGCAGACAACAGACGGCTGGCATCTTTCAACCCAAAATCCGTTTGTTGCTGCGTTATTCCGTCTCGCAGACACGTCTGCAATATTTGTTCGTTTTCTTCCACCTTTTACATAAACCCGTCTTATTGACCCTTGTTCGTAAAGTACAGGAAAGGGAAAGAAGCTGCTGCCCTTCCAACTTTTTCTTAAACAAAATCTCTACGGCACCCACCGTTTATTTGACTTACCTCGTCTCAACCTCAGACATATCCGTACTCCCGCCCTCTCGCCTCAGACCCCATCTACCAGCCAACCTCCATCCTGAATCCTGGTCTAGTCGAATCCCGATCCTACCCCATTGTCTATCGTCTTGCCTGCCGTTACATTGCCCTCGTAGCCTCTACTCGCTCTCTCAAGACGCACTAGGAGGCTTTTTGGCACTGCTTCACCTTCAACCGGTCGGTCACACCTCACCTTTTCAGCCCTCAGGTACTACCTCCCTTTACTCAATTACCCATGACTTTTTGCCTGAACCGACCATCTTGAACGTCCTCTTCTGCCCCCAAACTCCAGCCCTGTCCAGCTATCAACCTTATCAATCCCATCGCCGATCGACGAGACGTGAGCTGCGCTAAGGTATTCTCTGAGTGCTTGACTCTCTTTTCTTTGGCTGCATCTTATTTTGCTTTCCAGATTCTTACACTTTTGGTTCCCTATCCACTTGTCTTGGCTTTCTTGCCTTTCACAGCTCTCGAGGTTCTTATTGCAGCTCACACGAAGCTCTAGATGTGAAGAAAGGGTTTAGCCACAAAGATTATTTTCCTCATATCATCAAACCACCTGCCTACCTACGCGGTTCTCATACATTGCACACGCAAGCCTAGTCGAAAGGTTACCTCACCTTACCTCTCATAAATCGCTTTCCAGAAGAGACGTAACCTGCTACGTACTGGCTAGGCGCATTTCTTGCTACAGCGACATCTGCAGCAGAGCACACTATCTGCCTGATCCGGCTGGGCCATCGCACCAAAGCATCACAAGCACACGAGGCAGGCAAGGTACTTTTACCTATATTTTTATTTTTTTATTTTTTTTTACCACCTACCCAAGCACCAAGCACAAGCACTACGGTCATCCACACATCCACGTCCCGTCCAAGCACAACACTCACTCACACACACACGCACACGCACTCACTCACTCGCTCACTCACTCACTCAGCCACCTACCTACCGTACCTGCACCTGCACCTGCTGGCGCCAATAGAGAGTGCAGCAGTTGAGACTACCGCCGCGACTTCTTGCCTTTTCCCTTCGGCACACAAGGACTGCAGCGTCCGCCTCACCTTTCTCACTCTTCTTCCTGCTTGGGCTCTCTCAATTTATTTCGCTCGCTGAATCTGACTGGTGGCAGAAAAAAAACAAGCAGCTCTCACTTTGCCTGAGGGAAGGAGGGGGAAAAAAAAGAAAAAGATGCCCACCACCACTCATACCACGACCACCCGGTCGCCTTTTGACACCAACAACCTGGGCATCAACACCAACAATTCGGCCCCTGTTCTCCCACCTTACCTTCGCACTAGTAGCCAATCTCCGTTGCATTCTTTTCCTTTCTCGCCGAGCAACACCTTGCCTTCGGCCATCGGATCAGGCATTAAGAAAGAAAAACCATCCACCAAAATGGCCTTGGATAAGCCAGAGATCATGGACTTTGTCACTCGGTATCAGAACTTGCAGGGTTATCAGAACGCCAGCGACCAGTTGATGAAGGTACGTTTGCGTTTTCCACTTCCCTCATGGTTTGCCATTGCCTGCCCACCCCTTCTCCCGGTTTGAATCTTCTGCGTCCTTTCCACGGCTGGTTTGCGTCTGCAGAGAGACCAAAGCTTCCTGTCCCTTGCTCGATAGGGTCCCGCAGCAAAGCCACCCCCAGATTGAGCTTGAGCTCGAGCTTTTCGAGGCATGTCGTCAACTTTTGCTACCGCGTCTAGCTTCAGCGCCTGTTTGGCGTTGGCGCTGCAGCTATCATTGTTGACGCGCTTCGGCTGCTGATCCCCTACTTCCCTCATCGCCACCTTTCCAAGCCCACTCCCAATCCACCTGCACGAGACGCGACGAACTGCTATTCCCGTCCATCCCAACATGGGATCGCCCCTCTGAACAAGGTTATGAACCTTGACCAAAGTTACATTCCGCTAACCTCGTTTGATACCACAGGACCTTTTGATATACTGCAAAGAAATTCAGGGCCAATATGCCGATGAAAATCAGATACTCAAGCAGGAGCTGCGCAATGCAAAGCTCGACCTCGAGCATGCTACCACTTCCAGAAGAGAGATGCAGCAGGTGCTGCAAGAGCTTGATTATGATAACAGCTACATGAAGGTAGACAGCGGCGCCGCCTGCTGCCCAGCAGCTTCTTCCCCACCCTTGAGCTCCAGAGTGACTAAACCTCGCAGAATCGCAATCCCTACGTCTTGATTCTAATTGATGGAGATGGACTTCTTGTATGTAGCCCCGACTACTACCTCGGGTTTTCGATGTAATGCTAATTTCGGCGCCTTCTCAATAGTTCCAAGAATCGTTTATCAGACAAGGTATCGAGGGCGGCAAGCAAGCCGCCTACGCCCTCCGAACTGCCGTTGCCGAGTATGTTGGCAGCCAGTCTGGTGAGGTTGAAATCGTCGCCAAAGTCTGCGCCAATCTATCCGGTCTTGGACGTGCTATGCGCAGAGATGGCTGCCTCGATAGCGAGTCCGAGCTCAGGGAGTTTTCTCTGGGTTTCACACAGGCCAAAGCTTCGTTTGATTTCATCGACGTTGGTCACGGTAAGGAACGTGCCGACTCGAAGATCAAAGGTGCGTTGTACACGAGACTAGATGGTGATGTTGTAGTAGTGACACATGGGCTAACATTGCCATAGAGGCCACCCGCTGGCACTTGCGAAACTACAACTGCAGACAGATTTTGCTAGGCATTTCCCACGATGCTGGTTATGCCCCTTTCCTCGATGAAATCCTTCAAGATACAGATACTCGCTCAAGAGTCAGTCTAATTGAGGGCGTCGCTACGGTCAGAGAGCTAAAAAACACCAACGTTCATATCCTCGACCCGCTACCCAGCCTTTTCCGAAACCAAAAGCTCATTGATAGAAGCGGCGACCGCGCTGCTGAACGTGCCGAGGCATACGCCAGATTTTCGGCGCAGGCACCAGCGTCGGGACCTTTCTTTTCGGCTCCATCTAGAGCGTCAACATCTTCGCCTGTGATGGTGGCTTCGCCAACCTCACCCCCTGCTACATTGGCGACGACAGCCTCTTCTTCCTGGGCCGGGGTCACCGCTAAGGCTAGCCCGCCGCCTGTCATCACCACCCCGTTGGCTAAAATATCCGTCAATGTTCCAGCTCGAAAGGCTCCGGAGCCAAAAGTGGCAACACCGGCATGGAACCCTGGCGAACGTGGCTTGGATCCCCCCATCCCCATCAACGCAACAGCCATGGACAACATTAAGAAACGAACAGGCAAGGACAAGCTGTGCAACAACCATTACCTGCGCGGTCCTTGTGCCAAGGGCGATGAGTGCTGCTTCGAACACAAATACAAGCCCAACCCGGATGAAATTAACGCCATTGCCCATTTGACTCGTCTCAACCCCTGCACCAGCGGTCAGGAGTGTGACGTGGAAAACTGCATTTACGGACATCATGTAAGTCTTTGCCTTTCACTCTTGCAGAACAGGTGTACTAACAAGTCTCGCAGTGTCCTAGCGTGACTGGAACCACCTGCACCCACCCGTATTGCAAGTTCAGAGTTGAGGATCATCCACCTGGCACAAAGTTCAAGAATGCCAAGATTTACGAAAACTGAACGGCTTCGAGAAGCCGATTTTGGAAGGAAGGAGAGACAAAAGGACAAAGGGACAGGATTTGCTGTGGCACATGGAATTGGCTGTGGCACAGAAAGTCGTAACTCATCTGCTGCTGGTCTCTCAACGTACTGGGTTTGCTTTTTGAGAATTAATTCTTGTATGGTTAGCTTTCTCACTGGCAAAATGAGCTTGCCAAATGAGCTTCGTATAGCTATACATGGATAGCTGTTTTCCAGATATTTTCTTCATGCAGTGAGGCTCACGTAGCGCTTGAGGGAGGACCAATCGTACCTGAATTTCTGGCCCTGCAAAACCATTGCATCACGCTCTAGCTATATGGGTCAGCAATTTGCTCAGATTGTCACCATCGGATGAGGAGACGTGTTGGCGTTATAGTTGCGACTGCTCACTCCCGACCTCCGCGCTAGCATCTTGACCCCCGGTGGCTTATATTTTTTGAAGATCATGAGTTCGAATTCCCTCGTAGGCACTTTTTCTTTTGTTTTAACGAAAAGCCATTGCTCTTGCCACATCCATGAAGCTGCGGGTTATTTGCAGAGGGAAAAACGAGTGTTCGTGTATACCTTCGTCTGTAAGCTACCCATGAGCTGAGGTGAAGTAATGCCCTGTGCCTGTCTGCCGAGCCCCAGCGAGATAGTGGACCCCGCCACTCCAACCCAAACCCCACCACGAGCCGTGGTCTTGCAACCAACCCCACACCTGCCGGCCAAAATCCCAGAGTGGATTAGTAGAGAGAGAGAGCCTCCTCTTCAATCCACAACTGTATCCTCACCTCACATCTGCCAGGCCTCCAAACCCACCACCAACGACGACGACGAAAGCTCCCGAAGCGACTGATACCTCGAGAGCCACGAGCTCAATCGGGTACAAAACAAGAAGTGGCGATCACAGATAGTCCGCCAGACAATACCACACCAACAACCCCCCACACAAACCACAACCACCATGTCGCACCCACGCATAGAGGAGGTCGAAGACAGCGACCTCGAGGCATCAGACCCCTCCGAGGGCGACATTGACGACTTTGCCGACAACGACATCATGCGCCGCGTCGAGCCCAAATCTTCAGCACCACGCGCACCGCAAATCAACCCTTCCACCATCCCCCCCGCCGCCGCCAGCAGCGGCTCAGGCCCCCGCGGCGGCTCCTCCGAGTTCCAGACGACCATCGACCAGAAGCAATACGCAGACTTCCAGTGCCTCTACCCAATCTACTTTGACGCCCGCCGCACACGCGCCGAAGGCCGCCGCGTCCCCAAATCCCTTGCCGTAGAGAACCCCATCGCCCGCGAAATCGTAAACGCCTGCGCCGCCCTCCGCCTGCCAACGCTCTTCGAGCCCGCCAAATTCCACCCAAAGGACTGGGCGAACCCGGGCCGCGTCAAGATCCGCACGCGCTTCAACGGCCAACTCGGCCCGGACGGCGGCAAAGCCAGCGCGGCGAGCCGCCCCGCGGGGTGTCAGGAGATCAAGAACAAGCACCACCTGTACATCCTCGTCGCCGAGCACCTCAAGCGCAACCCGACGACGGAGGACAGTGCCGCCCTAAAGGCGCGCGTGCAGGGTGCTCCCGCGCACGATCCCAGCAAGCCGTGGCCTAGGCCTGCCGTCCCGCGCGGGTGGAAGATGGGCGAGCTGTTGCCGTATATCAGTCCCGCCATGACGGGCGGCGGCGTCAGCGAGAACTTGTTCAAGGATATGATGAAGGAGATGCAGGGGGGCGGGGACCCGATGGCGGCGTTGATGCAGCAGGCTCAGGGCGGTGCTTTGGGTGGTGGTGGTAGCGGTGCTGAGGAGAAGGCTGGTAAGAAGAAGAAGGGCAAGGGCAAGGCTTGATGTGGACTGTCAGAGAAAAGAGAAAGAGAGTCGTCAAAAGGGAAACCAGGGGTGGACCACATCCAAGGAGTTCTAAGCATCATCATGAAAAAACATACCACGGCCAACGGTCAATGGTCAACAAGTTAAAACGACATCACGGAGATACAAAGGGGAAGGTCGTAGAAAAAGGCTGAGGGAGCCCAATCTAAGCATGCTAGACTTGAAGAATAAGGTTGGGATTCAGGGGGTATTTAACATCCTACTAGTCCTTCTGCCACATCGCATCGCTTCCATGATAATCATACTGCCGCCAGTCGGCCCTGTATCCCCTCCCACTCGCGCGATCCCACAATCTGCACATCCCTCCCGCCGCCGGGCACCATCTTGCCGTCCGCGTCCGGCAAACGAATCTGCAATCTCGCCGCCACGCTCTTCATCATCTGCCTCTTCTCCGCCGCCGCCCCATCCTTGCGCCCTAGCACGACCTCGGACTTCTTGAGCACCGAGTTCCGCCAGCTGTTCCACGCCGCGAGGTCCTCCCTCTGCTTGGCCGCGTGGTACTGCGGCGTGCTGCGCGCTGGCTTCCACGCGAGCTTGTCCTCCGGCAGGGAAGCAAGGTCGTATACGCGGGCCGACGTTGTGAACTTGACCAGCTCGCTGAGAACATCCTTGCCCTCCGCCACGACGAGGGCGCGGCGCTGTTCCACGACGGAAGGTGACTTGGTGAGCGGCTCCGCCAGCCAGTCGTAGTTGTGCTGCTCCGTCGTCCTGGCGCGCCTGTTGTCCTCGCGAAGGTATCGCACGGCAGCCTGCAGGCTCGCAATCTCGCTTTTGAGAGCATCCATCTCGCGCGCCGTAGCAACCGCCCGCTCCTGGCCGGCCTTGGCGCCCGCTGCACCGGCGCCGTCCGCGAAAGCCTTGCTGTCGCCGGCAATCTTTTTCCACTTGTCGCGGTCCGTCTCCAGTGTCTTGAGCTCGCGGTCTTGCTTATCAATGTCTTCCTTGAGACTAGCAGCCTTTTGCTTCGCAGCCTCGATCTGCGCCTCGAGATCCTCAATGCGAGAAGCCTTGGCATTAGCATCCTTCATCCTCGACTCGAGGGTCTCAATCTTGAGGTTGGCCGTGCTCAAATTCTCGTCGCGCTGCGCAATCGCCACGCGGGCTTCGTTGTGCTCCTCCTTAAGGCGGCGCATCTCCTCCTCCGCATCGACGGGGATTGTCTTGATGGCCTTGAGCTCCTGGGAACGAAGCTTCCACGGTGCGGGGCTGACTTCAAACTCTTGCGTCTGGGACAAATCTGCGCTAAGTGCGGCCAGGTCTGAGATCTGGCTGGTAAGAGTACGAAGCCTAGACAGGTACGTTGAGAAGAGGTCGGACTCGCTCGACATGGTGACCTTGGTGGTGGCCTTGGAGATTGTATCCTGGACTTCGCGGTACGTAAAGGGCTCGTTACGGCCTTCCTCGTGTAGGAGCGTATGCAAGTCGGAGCCAATCTCACGAGCCAACGCTGCCAGCTGTTGAGTGGCATCCTGGCACTGCTCAAAGGACTCCTTGGTCTCTTGCGGCAACGCCAGCGAGCGAGACTTGAGATCTTGCAGGGCCCGCACAGCCTTTCCAGCAATAACCTTGGCACTCCGGGTCTGAGCAACGACAAACTCGGATTTCTTGCTAAAGTGCTGCGCCATCTCATCGTCTTCAGACTCGGAGGGCACAACTCTCTGGACCATTCCACGCAAAGCAGCAAAGGTGGCTCCGGCAGACTCAAGATGGCTCTGCATGACGACAGTCTGCATGTACGTGTCCTCGGCAAAGTCGGGCAGCTCGTTGGTGAGGTGAACTTCAGCGAGATGGGACATGAGCGCAATCGTGCGCTGGAGTTCGTCCGCACACTTCTGCTCCTTGAGGTCATCTCGTCGCAAGCCGTCGATCCATCCGTTCAGCGCCCGCTCCACTGGCTCCAGCTCAAACAAGGCATTCTGGAACCGCTGGAATTGTTCAATCGAGCAGTGGCTGATGGCGTTAGTGAAGCGCTCGCACATAGAAGCGACCCATGTAAGTTTGTCGATAGCATCGCAGCCAGCAAAGACGTCGTCCTCGTGGCCAGGATGAGGTTGGCCGTTGACACGCTCCTTGATGAACGACTGCAGGAGCTCGGCCTTGAAGGCCAATCTCCTAAACCTCAGCAGAGCAAGCACAGAGTCTTGGTCCTCCTTGTAGTTATCAGGCAAGAACATCTTGACAATCTCCAAGTGTTGCTCGGCCTCCTGAGCCTCTAGTCGTCGTAGCTCGAGGTCGATCGTCTTGACTTGGGCCTTGGAGGCGGAGATCTGGAGCTTCATGTTCAGGTCCATCATAGCGCGAGACTTGCTGTTAAGCTGCTCGGATTCCGTCTCGGTCACAGCATGTGACGCCCGCATGTCCTCGAGGTCGCTCTGCAAGCTTGTGACCAGTCCTCTGAAGCGGGACAGAGTGTATTCCATGTCCTCCAGGGCCTCCTCTTGCTCGCCCGCCCGTCGCGCCTGCTCCGTGATGACGCTGTCCTTGAAGTCGAGGTCCTCTTGCATCTCCTTTTCGTTCTGGACGTGGTTGATCTCCAGCTCGTCGTTGATCTCCTTTAGGTTTTCGAGATCTTCGATGACGGCCTTGAGTTCTTCGATTTGCTCAGACATGCTCATGTTACGCTCAGTGAGGTCCTCGATCATATCTTCAGCGCCCAAAGCATTATCGAGTTGTTGCCGAAGATCCTCAACTGCAGCCTCGGATTGGGCCAACTTTTCCTTCGCCGCATCAAACTGCTCCTTAACGGTGCCAAATTCTTGGAGATCATCCTCCAAAGTCTTGATTTGGTCCTTGAGCTCCTCCTCTTGTTGCTGAGTCAAGTCGCGCAATCGCAGGAGAGCTTCGCGGAGCCGCTCGTTCGTCCTCTCCATCTGCAGCCATCCGGTGCTGGCTCGGTCTTCCGCTGACATACCCTGGCCGAATTCCGCATTCTCTTCGCGGAGAATTTCCACTTCGAGCTCAAGCTCTTCCGACTTCTGCTTCAGAGCCTCAAGTTCAACCTTAAGAACCTCGGCCGTCTCTTCAGCCATCTCACGGTCCAATGTGGCCAGCTCCAAGGCGGTCTCATGCTCCATCTGCATTGATTCGATGGATTCGAACC